GGTTATGCTGCTCTTTGCCTTCATTGGCTACTACACCTCTTGTTTGCTCGCCGACTGCTACCGCTCCGGCGATCCAATCAACGGCAAGAGAAACTACACCTACATGCACGCGGTCCGCTCCCTCCTCGGTACGTGAACATAAATGAAATAAACACAAAGAAACTAAAACCCCAGCTTGTTGTTACTTCCCATCCTTGTTGAATAATGCGGTGGAGTTTTCTTATTATATTTAGGCGGAGCTCAGACGACGGCGTGCGGTATAATGCAGTACATGAACTTGATCGGGATCGCGATCGGGTACACGATCGCGTCGTCAATCAGCATGATGTGAGTTCTATCTAGATCTCGAAAGTAAATTTTGATTTTGTTTGGACAATATTTGATTCATGTGCGTGTGTGCGTGTTTGACAGGGCGATCAAACGGTCGAATTGTTTCCACAGCAGCGGGGGGAAGAATCCATGTCATATGTCAAGCAATCCGTTCATGATTTCTTTTGGAGTAATGGAAATATTTCTGTCTCAGATTCCTGATTTTGATCAGATTTGGTGGCTCTCTACGGTGGCTGCTATCATGTCTTTTACTTATTCCACCATTGGCCTTGGCCTTGGAATCGCCAAAGTTGCAGGTTTCAAATCAAAACCCTTTTCACTTTCTTTTAATGTGACCAAGAAACATTCTTATTGTGACGCATTTGTATATAAACATAGCATAAAATAAATATGTATTTAGAAATAGATCAATAAAAATTTAACTCAAATTCAAATTAAAAAAAATTACGTTTATGTTATATTTAAAAGAAAAAAGTTGTTGCATATTTTAAGATTTGTATTAAATTTATGCTATTTTCGATAAAGTTTTTATATTTGGAAGTAGTATAAAGTGCTAGAAAGAAGAGTCGAAAACACACTTTAGAGTTCTTAATGGAATAAAAAGCTCTCGATTGACTTAAGAGTGAGTTTCTGATGACTTTTAGGAGGGTGAATAGTGTTTTTCTCAAAAAGCGTTAATAAATTAAGCTCTATCAAAAGTTTTCTCAAACTCACTCGGAAGCATTATAAAGAGTGTATAACCAAACATAAAATTGATTTTCTAATATCTCGTTTGGTAGCGTCTGTTTCTGATTTCTAACATGATAAAACTGTATTTTTATTTATATTTTGAAACAAAAATAGAAACATGAAACAAGAAACTTGCTTCGGTTGTTTCTCATATAAATAAAAATAACCTTGACAATATTTCTATACAATTTTGAAAATATTTTAAAAAATAGAAAACAAGAAACATAAATAGTTGTCAAATACATAGTTTCTTAATAAAATGAAAATGAGAAATATAAACATTATCAAACAAATCCTAAACGTTTTATCGAGAATATTTTAGAAGTGATGGAATGAAACAAACGATTTTGTTATTAGTGCTTGTAAAACTAAAATAATTTTACAAATATTTTTAGATGGACTAAAATTTGTATTTTTTTTTTTCTCTAAAAATAACTTTTCTCTTAATTATTGTGCAGAAAGTGGGAGTTTTAAAGGAACATTGAGTGGCATAGGTGTGGGAACAGTGACTCAGAGCCAAAAGATATGGAGAACTTTCCAAGCACTTGGCGATATCGCTTTTGCCTATTCTTTTTCAATCATCCTTATTGAAATTCAGGTAATTTAATTTTTATATACTTTTTTAAATTATCTTTTTCACTTTTTTATTTACCCCTTTTGTTATTCTTATAATTTTTAAGACATATTTCTCCGCATTTAAAAACAAAGTTTTGTTTTTATGAAGCAAAAAAAGTTACAAAAGCCCAGTTGAAAGTTGTGAAAGTTGTTAATAGGTCTGAATAACGAAAAAAATACAATCGAGAAATAAGATAAAGAGCGAGGAAAAAAGAGATAGTAATGATTGCATCTTTTGTTTTATGTTTTTATTAATTAATTTCTAGGAATCAATATCTTGTAGCTTAAGCTACCGCATCCTATTGATGCTAGCTTGTTGCCTCGTTAGTTTATATTAGATTTAAAAAAGTTCATACGAATTAAGACTCTGATACCTACTTTGTTTTTTGATTTTCTGTTTTTAAAAATTATGGTTGATTTTCGCCTTTTTTAAAAATAGAACTCTAAACCAAATTTTAAAAAAAGGGAAAAGCAAAATAAAAAGAAAAAAGAAAAAGGTGGAAATAGTGTTTAATTTCTAAACTTTATTTTAAAAAAAGAAATATAAAACGAACTTAAGATTTTAAAAAAGTTCCTTCAAAATCTCTAATCCTACTAAGTTTTAAAAGTTTTAATCACCATACTAATCAGGTAGGAAATAGTTTATAAAAATTAAGACCATAACTAAAATGTTTTTTTTCTTTTTTTTTTATGAATAACTAATTAAAATAGGACATTTAAAGTTTAAAGACTATTAAAATAGAATAAATAAAAAGGTATTTTTTGACCAAAAATAGAATAAGCATAATTTTTTTAAAAAAAGAACAAAAAATAAATATTAGAAATAAAGTACATATTATTCCCGAACAATGTGGGGATTTATTTATAAATTAAACAGTTCCACAAAAGCACAATCAGAAACTTAATTTCAAAGGCTAAAAGTTTTTTCTTTATTCTAAAAACAAGAAGAATATTTTTATATGCTATTTCCAGTTCTTTTTCATAAAATAAAATAAATTTTGAAAATTCAAAAACTTATTCTCCTCCACATGTACAATTCTAAATGGATAGAATTAATTAAAGCTTTTTTTAAGCCAGATTAATTAAAGCTTTATTTCGCTTTTACCAAAGGAACCGCAAAAACTCACTGCTTGTTATTGTTATTTTTCTTTAAGATTGATTTTAGCTTATAATTATATATAGAGTCCTTACGATTAATTTTTTAAAAATCATTTAATAAAAAATTCAAATTTATTTCAAACCTTAAGAGTTGGACTTACCGTCAAATACTTGTTTAAATCACACCTTTTTATTTGTGGATTGGGTTTAGTTTAAATTATTCGTCAACCAAGTTTTAAAAGTTTTGATTCTCGTCTTTTAGGATTTTTATAAATCCTTTAAATTGTCCTTAAATCATTTTTTACCTACTTGAAAGCTATTTTTTTTTTATCATAGAGAAGTATATCTAAAAATTAAACTAAAATTTTAAAAATACAAGATCAAGTTGAAGCTATGCCAAAACCCATAAGTGACTAAATTGGTGTTAAGTCCAAACCGGTCATAAAGGATGAAATTGAAACTTTACAGTTATGGCGACCAAATTAATAATTTAACTATGAGTAATACACATTCGATTTATTTTTTTTAAATTAAAAATAATATCAACAAAAACTAAAATAATTTCTTATACAAACAAGATTTAGGTGTGGAAACACTTTAGCGTAGGTCATCTTTGTGACCCATAGTCACATGCTATACTCAACCAACGATGGTTCTATACCCTTAACAGAGTATTTGAACATTGTTTTATTTGAAAATTTTAAAGCAATTTCGCTCTAAAATTGGCCTCAAAATGAGGTTTTTTTTTCTTTCGAATATCAATTGCTTGTTGGTCAGCATACATCTTCATAAAGATTATCAATAAAAATTTAATAGTTTTTCAAATTTTTGAAAAAAAAAGTATTTTCTTTTTCGGTATTTCTTCTTTATTCGAAAATTTAATGGTGGTCAAATGAATGTTTAAATATTTTTCTTCTTATGCGAAGGGAAAAATAGTGTCGAGAGACCAAAATAAGATTTATTTAAGCTTCTTATTATTATTCGTAGGACACCATCCGATGCCCACCATCAGAAGCAAAGACAATGAAGAAAGCCACAGGTCTCAGCATAGCCGTGACCACAACTTTCTACTTACTGTGCGGCTGCATGGGCTACGCCGCATTCGGCAACAGCGCGCCGGGAAACCTCCTCACCGGGTTCGGGTTCTACAACCCCTTCTGGCTCCTTGACATCGCCAACGTTGCGATCGTCGTCCACCTCGTCGGTGCCTACCAAGTCTTCTGCCAGCCCGTCTTCGCCTTTGTCGAGAAGAAGGCTGCCCAGGCATGGCCAGACTCGACCTTCATCACAAAGGAGCACAAGCTGTCCCTCTTCCGCCGCTCATACAACGTCAACATGTTCCGACTCGTATGGAGATCCCTCTTTGTCTGCTTCACCACCGTCGTGGCGATGCTGCTTCCTTTCTTCAACGACGTCGTCGGGATCATCGGGGCGCTGCAGTTCTGGCCCTTGACAGTGTATTTTCCAGTGCAGATGTATATTGTTCAGAAGAAGATACCAAAGTGGAGTGTGAAGTGGGTTTGTGTGCAAACCATGAGCATGGGCTGCCTTTTGATTTCCGTTGCTGCGGCTGTGGGATCTGTTATTGGTGTCATGCTCGATCTCAAGGTTTATAAGCCTTTTAAGACACGTTATTGATTTCTCTCTCTGTCTTAGAATCTTATGTATTTCCAAATGTTTTCTTTTATGTATACTAGTTGTTATGTATTTGCAATCCCACCAATCTCTAATTTGTCCAATGTGACGTGAAAAGTTCTTATCGTGTTTACGTTTGAGACTACATTTCATCACGAGAAATGTTGAGTCGGGTAAAACCCAATAAAATAAAGAAACAAATCTATTTACCGAACAAACAGGGGAGAGACCTATGAAACTGTTAGGAGGGAGGAAATGTTAAGGCCAAGAGAGGTGTTGAGGACTCTCATGATTAAAGAGTATTTTTCTCGGGGCGAAAACTTTGTTCACTAGAAAACTTGCATGAATGCACATAAACTTCGCACGAGTAATATAGAAATTTTATTCTAGAGATCGTATCTGTAGAGACTTTTTTATTAGGTTTTAATAGTGATTATTAAATAAAATGACAGAAATTAAACTGAGTGTAACGAAGATTAGTTTAATGTTCATGTGAGAATATATATGGTTTGGAAGACAGACTTGACTTGCTAAGATCCTACTATGCGATATTTGCCTCGCCAATTCAGCGCTCAAATTAATTTTGTGGCTTTCTAGTGTATTAAACCAGATTTCCAACCTAACTCTTTAGACTTACCACCTAAGAGTTTTTGTTCTCATTAGATCTTAAATATTCATCAACTTTACTTTTATAATAAGCATTACAACCTACAAATCCTTGAAGTCTTTGCAAGTGAAAGTTATGCATATTCTTATGATCATTCAACAAACAAGCTTTTAAAACTCATGTTCTTACATTCTTCACCATTTCCATTTATTCCAAACCCTTCTAGTGTCATATATTCAACTTTACTATTTGATAAAGTTGGTTAGATAATATAAGTAGTATTTTAACAAGTGTAGATGAAGAAAAGCTCTAAGAATGTTCACTTATATTAATGCTCAAGACAAGTAATAAATTCAAGACAAGAGATTTAAAATTCAAGAGAAATAGGTATACAAGTAAAGCCATGGGAAGTTCAACTCCATGACTACTTCAGTAACACTAAAATAGTTCAAGACAAACTTAATTCAATAAAACAAAAAAGAAGTTTAAAATACATTTTGAGTATAATGAAACAAGGAAGATATAGGTTATCATTGATATGAATATCTCCAACCATGCAAATTCAAACCATTCATTGTGCCACAAAGTTCAATGAAAAGTGCTAGGAGCTAAAAGACTTCAAGAATCATTGAGATCACTTTAAAGCTAAGATGTTCACATCTATTGAAGAGTTGCATGCAAAATTTTGAAGATAGGAACAAGTTCTCATTTCTTCCTGATCATTTATAATCATGAATAAGGAAGATATCAAGCATAATTGAGGTAGTTTCTATCAATATTCATGGGTTCCATTTCTAAACCAATTGGCAACGAAAAAAGTAACCCGTTTATATTATAAACCTTTGTTAGGTTCCTAAACTTTTCAATGTGGGATCTTAACACATGCCCCCTCAAGATGGTACCTCTTTTGGGTTATTAACTAATCTTGGTTGGTGATAACTCTTTGAAAGAGCATTGGCTGAATTATGGGCTAAATTGAGTGCAAATGTGAGGATGGTAGTCATAATAACCTATTAAAATGAGGATTTATATAAGAAATAGAAAAATAATGTCTGCAATCCTTGTTTTGTTGAAAAAAGATAAATTCTAGCTTAATTTTTATGTTTTTGGGTTGTTTGTGCATAATCTGGAACTATTAGTAGTTGTGCACCTAAGCGAGAGGAAAATGCTAGGACTCCCAAAGCTAGGACCCCCAATGCTGGAGAATCACTCGCTGTAGAAATTATTGGGCAGCATAATAACTCGTTTTACATGGAATTTTTAATGTGGTCCGTACCTCGTGCGTTTTAATTGTTTTTGCCCTAATTTTGGGGAAGATTATATAAAAGGTTTAAGACGAGGGTTGTCGAAAGTAGCAATTCCTAGGGGATTTTTGGGGGAAAATAAAAAGAAAAGTGAGAACATACCCAAACATAGATGGTCATGGAGGAGGAAGAACATTGCAACAACCAACAGTAGCATACCCACGAGATAAAATGAAGACCCATTCCGTTTTCCTCCCTTTTTGAGCTATTTGCTCTATGAGTTTTATTTTCCTTTGTCTTTAAACTATTTTATGATGTATTTTAGCTGAACTCATTTTATGGAAGTTGAAATCTTTTGCATGTAAACTCTATTTCTTGAGTATGGAAGCTTCTACTATCGATTAAAGTTCATTTTTTTTTTTATTGCGGAATGATCTTGGATGCTTGATCAACATCCATGTTGGTATTTTTATTGTTTGGAAAAACATGGTATAAATACATGTATTACTTTGCTTGGCTTTAGATCTATATTTTTACATAAAGCATAAATACTTAAAAATAAGACTTACATAAAGTTGCCTTAAAAATTGTATTTATTGTTTCTCTAGGCAAGAGAAGTTGTGGATAGAAAAATATGTGGGTTTCGAAAGAAAATCAAGTCTATTTGACTACACTAGATTTCGATGCTCGAGTAATGGGTAGTAGCAGCAACGCAAACGAGATACTTCTTCATTTTGTTTTTTCCAAATTTTTTAGTGTGGATTGTTCTCGTTTATTTTTGCTATTTCATGTTTACCTTCATTCTTTTCCTTCGATTTTGTTTATGTTAAGATTAGTTTATTTTAAAAGTAAAAATATAATTGTTTGGTTATCGAATATCTCAAGTTTATTTTGGAACTATCTGGGGAGATAATCTTAGCATGTAGGTCACTAGGCCAACATTCGGATCCAAGTTTTTGGATCAGATGCGAAAATGCGAGGAGTAGCCCATGTCAATTATAAATTTTTGTAAGGTCCCTTTTATTTTCAATGCGGGATTGATACCATATAAATGTTTATGGATTCCGTCTCAAAACCAATTGACAGTAAAATGATTAACCCATTTATATTTTAAACTCTTGTTAGCTTCTTTATCTTTTCAATGTGGGATCCTTAACATATACCTCCTCAAGATGGTGCCTATTTTGGGTTCATTAATCTTGGTCGGATCCCATTTTTTGATCAGATGGTCGTTTGAGCTTTTGTACTCTTATACCATATCAATGTTCATTGGGGTTCCATCTCAAAACTAATTGGCTATGAGAGGACTAGTTCATGGATCCTTAATCGTTTCCTTTATCATTTTGTATCAGAGCTTTGGCTCTAAATAGATTATATCGTTTTACGCTTCTTATTCTTTATATTTATTTTTTCTTCTTTTAATCATTACATCAAACTTCATTTCGTGTATGTTGGAGACAAAAAAAGTCTTGCCATGTGAAGAATAGAAGAAGGTCGGAAGGTAAATGTCTTACCTAAGGATCATCTTGGACGAGATCGACCTTCTATACTTAAACACAAACATTGTACGAATTCACTCCAATTTCTCAAGTTTATTGTGGAGCAATCTTGTTAAATAAATCCTTGGGGAGACAATCTTTTATTACTTGCTGCAACCTTGTTGTGTATATTTGCACATGCTTTAGCATGTAGGTCGCTAGGCCAACAATTGGATCCAAATTTTTGATTGGATGCCCACTTGAGCTTTTAAGCTTTAATACTACATCAATACTCATGAGATTCCATATCAAAACTAATTGGGTATGAGAGGAGTAGCACATGGATCCTTGACATGTTCCCTCAAGATCATGGCTCTTTTGCCTCTTATAGATCTTAACCAAATCCATTTTTGGACAGGATGCTCGTTTGAGCTTTTTTTT